CTTCAGAAGATTGTAACTACAATTTTATATATTCCTGGTGATTAGAAAATATGATGACTTGTTATACTCAATGTTAAAAACGACACATTTGAGTTGCGGATAATGGATGCAGACTTTAAATTTGAAGGTATTCTCAGCTAAACTGCAGAAATAATTGTAATTACAGCCCATAGAAATGAAGAGCTCAGATGTATTCTGACTGTCTTCAGTTGTTTATGCCTTTAGTTTCATCTAAAGCAAGTAAAAAGCAAGTTTGGGATCAGACGACAGCAGAAATGTTTGTCTCCTAACCTTCAAAAACTCTTTAGTCTCTTGGATGACATGTTTCATTTGTTCAGGGAATACTGTCAACCCACGAGAGGAAAGGGAGTAATCTTGTTTTCCAGACTTCTACATTCACTCAGCTGTCTTCTGTCACACCATCAATAAATAGTATTTCCTCACTGCCACAGGAAGCCACGCAGACACATGCCATTTCTCTGCCTCGCTCTTTCAAACTTGACATCTGCCATAAATCTTGAGTCATTTTAAGACCACAGTCGACTACTTTAAAAAAAACTGTTAAATCCTCGGAAACATTTATTTACATTTAAAAATTTTTTTATTATTATGTTTTGTACCTTGTTGCAAATTTTCACAAAGTCTTATTGTTATTTTAGATTTGGTGAGACTAACCCTAATGTCCTGGAGAGGGTTTTCCACTGCTGAGGTGCAGCAAAAGGATTTTTGTCTCAAAGAAAAGGAAAAAAAAAGTTGTTGACGAAAAACTAGACTTCTCCAAAGAAATTCTCTCCAGCTGTCAATTTCCAAGCCTCGTGTTTCATAATAAATAACACATTTTCTGAAGAAGCAAGAACCTCCCACCATTTCTGACACTCCCACTTCAGCACGTCTTAGTAACCATGCTTCAGACTGAGCTGCAGGGAGGAGCTTTGTACAAATAGGCGGAGCTTTGTAYCGGCAAGCGTTTAGGAAGCTCCACATGGCTACCACAGGAGATTCAAGGATTTCTCAAACATGCATGAATGAGTCAAAACAACACTCTGGTTATGTTTTTTGATGAGAGAACATGACATAAAGCTAAAAAAGTTGATTTTTCATAATACCCGCCCCTAATTTATGAAAAAATAAACTGAAAACAACCTAAAAAAGCAAAACTTTTAACACCCCTTGCACCACAGTTTTAGCACAAAGAGCTGCACACCGTTAACCCTCTTCCTTCCCCACACTTCCCACGTGTCCCTGCGCTCTAGGGACGACCACGGCTTTAGCCCCCTCCACTGGGCGTGCCGCGAGGGGAAGAGCTCCGTCGTGGACATGCTGATCATGAGAGGCGCACGCATCAACGTGATGAACCGGGGCGACGACACGCCCTTGCACCTCGCCGCGAGCCATGGACACAGGGACATCGTGGCTAAGGTTCGCTTGTGTGGGCAGTTCACAGCTTGCTTTGTTGTGGACATTTTATTTATTTATTTATTTATTTATTTATTTACATGTGGTTACCAGCTGATTCAGTGCAAAGCAGATCCCAATACAGTCAACGAGCATGGAAACACACCACTCCACTACGCCTGCTTCTGGGGTCATGATGAAGTTGCAGAGGTGCAGCACTCACACACACATGCATGTTGGTTTTTCTGTCCTTGTGAGGACTTTGCATTGACTTCCATTCGTTTTCCAGTCATTCCTATAGCCTGACCCTAACCCTTCACCTCAGTACATACCTGACCCGAAACCTAACCAAAACTCAATTCACACCTTGGTCCTAAATCCAGCCCCTTAACCCCAAAATGACATCATAGGGAGTACTGGGTCCCTGTAAGGCAGTGTGTGTTTGAAAAATTGGGACCATTTTAGCAAAGATTCAGCCACACACACATTTTTACTTCCTTTAGTTGGATTTGTTAACTTAAAAAGCCCTCTGCTGGTCGAAAATAGCCACTGCAATGAAAGTCAAAGCACTCTCAAGGTTATGAAATTTAATGCTGTTTAATATTTTCATTATACATTTAAAAACTATATTTTTTTAGGATTTGGTAGCGAATGGAGCCCAGGTGTGTGTATGTAACAGATATGGACAGACACCTCTGGATAAGGCCAAGCCTCATTTAAGACAGCTGCTGCAAGGTTATTTCTATATTTTAAAGCATATTTGCCACTAAAATAGACAAATATGTTGGCCATCTAACTGAACGACTGCATCACTGTGTTTCATTTGTAGAAAAGGCAGAGAAACTGGGCCAAAGTTTGACCAAAATCCCATATAAGGAAACTTTCTGGAAGGGTACCATGAGGACACGACCCCGTGTGTAGCATTCCTTCTAAACGGCATGAACAAATAGGGATGTCAAATATGATTCTGTGCTTTGTGAGTCATGTTGTTTCACTCCCACAGGTAATGGAACCCTCAACAAGCAGGCTGGTATTGATTATAAGCAGCTTTCGCTTCTGGCGAAGATCAGTGAAAACCAGTCTGGGGAGGTCAGATACCCTCTGTCCTTTTTTTATATGCTTCTGCCTGCCTGTTTTGAAAAAAATAAAAAGAATTTTACTACCCAGTTGTTTACTGGACCACGTGCTCTGTTTTTAGTTATGGCAGGGTCGATGGCAAGGGGATGAGATCGTAGTGAAGGTGCTGCATGTGAGGGACTGGACCACCAGGAAGAGCAGAGACTTCAACGAGGAGCATCCAAAACTCAGGTTATTTACAGATCAAAGTCAGAACAGATCCGTTCAGATTTAAACCCGTTTCATGCAGAGACTCTTGGAATCATTATCTTGTACTGTTAATGCAATCATGCCTTCAGGTGACGAATCAAAAATAGCTGTTTGTGCAACAAACAAATCCACTTTGACTTCATGAAGTCTGATCTACGAGGATGTGCTTCAAGCAGTTTTTACTTTATGTTGTTTTTGTTGCCCAAAAAAAAGAAACTTCCACATTGGGTATGCTGAATTTGAAATAACGTGTATAAATACATGAGAGGATTTTAGTTTGCTGAAAATAAACCCAAGCTAATTCACGTTGGCCCCCAGAAGCACATCTCCATACAGTAAATTGCTCATTAGCATAATCATAGCAAAGTTGTAAGCAGCTTCTCTCGTGTGCATCTGAGGTGTCTGAAACTGAATTAGATACACAGCAATAAACAAAGCATGTTTACTTTATAGCCATCTTTGCTGTGTTTAATCAGTCCCACAAACTTCAGATCTTCTTTGGGCTACAAGCAGAGACAAAACTCTAAGGAGACAAATTTTGTTTTGCTGACCAGATCAAGAATATCCCACTGGGAAGGCAATGGACTGCAGATTTTAGCAGTCCGCTTGCTTTCATGTTCACTTCCATCCTCGGCTTCTAACAACTAAAGCTTGTATAAAAGTAATTGGGGTGAGTGTGGTGGAAACTTCAGAGCCGATGTAAAATTTAGGAAAAAATGAAAGCGTTTCTCTTAATGAACTTGTAAAACTAGTGCTCAGCTTAGCTTAAAAGTGCTGCATGTGTGACATAAGTCATAAAAAAATCTCGCTTATTACTTAATTGAGACCTGCTTTATCCAGAGTTTGTTGTTGTTTACATTTTCTGTAAACATTTATCTCTCTTTTCCACCTTTTGTCGCCTCACAGGATCTTTTCTCATCCGAACGTTCTGCCTGTTCTCGGAGCCTGTCAGTCTCCTCCRTCTCCTCATCCCATCATCATCACCCATTTCATGCCATACGGATCGTTGTTCAACATCCTCCACCAGGGCACCAGTGAGTCATTGCCACKGAAACRGAAATACACGACAGTGAYGACACTGGACGAGATATTCAWATGCCATCTTGCTAGGTGCTTCGTRTATCGTGTGTRTKGTTTACATGTTAAATCCACCAGTTGTTACCTTTAAATGTGTGCTATATATGGTGGCAACAGTCCAAAATCACATAGAAAGCCTGGTCAAGCATTAATGGGAGCACTACTGATAAAATTACCAAGTTTTAGTGATTTAAGTGTCATTTTTCTAGCTAAACAAGTACATAACTGCACTTTTAAGTACTTGCTTTAACTTTCATTCTAATCAGAGCTCTTCTACCAGTATCTGTAGGTAATTTCACTTGGACTTACGTACCTTAACCCTGTATAATATACTTTTTTTCTTATAATACCGAAAATATTTAGTTTAAATATAACATGCACTTCTGTATTTAGACATGCATGCTTGAGTTTTTAGCCTATACACTAATTAGTCACATAAACATGATTTATTAACTTCAAATTTCGTGTAACTAGCTCCTTTTTGGGATCTTTTTCCTGGTGGGATAGGACTGTTTTGGCCGGTTTGTTAAACGTCCCTTCACACATGCGGTGTTCAAGTTTCTTTCAGCTCCTGTCTCGAGTTATGACTAAAATTATCAGTGGTGGGTCAGATGGAAGTCTCCTGCAGGCTGCTGCCATTTGAATAGCCCTGGTGTATATTATGTTTAGAAGGATATTATGGCAAAATATTAACAAGCCTCCAACATTTAGCTCCATGTCTGAGTTTAGTGTTTTCACTCTGACCTTTTAGGTTTTGCTGCCACTCTGAAAGGAACTAACTGTATAGCACTTGGCAAGATGGCAGCACACATTCTCATCTAGTTAGTATATATTGCAGTGTGGCTGGTCACCTCTACTTTACAGGTCATTGCTTTCATGTACAAGAGTAAAAACAGGAAGTGGCTACAATGTACTTATATTGAAGTTTTGATGTTCCCAAACCGTTTCATCAAAGGGTTCTTGTTCTTCTCTATTTCTGTTTCCTTCCTCTTCCTCAGCTCTGGTCGTCGATCAAAGCCAAGCGGTGAAGTTTGCTCTGAACATTGCGAGCGGCATGGCGTTCCTCCACACCTTGGAGCCGATGGTTGCACGGCTTTACCTCAACAGTAAGCACGTCATGGTAAGGCGGCGCCGTTCGAGTAAACAAACCCAGCGCCGCGTGTTCGGTTAGCATGAAGCTAATGGGGTTTGGTTTACAGATCGATGAGGACATGACAGCCAGAATAAGCATGGCGGATGCCAAGTTCTCCTTCCAGTGTCCTGGTCGTATGTACGCCCCAGCCTGGATAGCCCCTGAAGGTATTTGTTCTCCTCCTTCTTGCTCGTTAACACCTTCCTTAGCTTTATGAGTCGTTCGGTCTGGAAAGTAGTGTATTATTTCTGCCCGGTTCAGCTGTTTATTCTTCTTCCTGTTTGTCATCAGCACTGCAAAAGAAGCCTGAAGACATCAACAGAAGATCTGCTGACATGTGGAGCTTTGCAGTGTTGCTGTGGGAACTGGTTACCAGAGAGGTCCCCTTTGCTGATCTCTCAAACATGGAGATTGGCATGAAGGTATGTGGGCATCTCATTTACCAGCTCCCACCACAGCCATATATTCAAGTCCAAACCTGAACGCTCGAACCTACTACTTCTGCACATTTCTGTTTGGGTTATTTAAAGTAATCATTGTATCTCCATTTATTCCCATTGCTCAGGTGGCTCTAGAGGGGCTCCGGCCAACCATCCCACCAGGAATCTCTCCTCACATCTGTAAGCTGATGAGGCTCTGYATGAACGAAGACCCGGCCAAGAGGCCCAAGTTCGACATGATCGTTCCCATTTTGGAGAAAATGCAGGAGAAGTGATTGTCCAGTCGGCCCAGCTCTGTTGTTGGTTTTAATTCTTGTTTGTTTTTATTTAAACCACTTTTTATCTTCACTCCAGCCATCATATRTATCTGCCAGGCCACTGTAAATAACGCCAAAAAAAACCACTGCAGCTGCACACAGCTTGAACACTTATTTCACTGCTTGTTTTATGTAAGCTAATTTGAATTTTAAATGTTATTTCTCTCATATATTGATCAGTTGTCCTGACTGAAATAATGACATTATATTCYGTGTGGATTACAGTTGAGTAATATGTCAGATGGGGAAAAAAAACCAAAGAAATGTGTGTAGAATCTGACTTTTTATACACATTTACAACTGCAGATGTAATAAATGTTTTATATATTTATGACAAACCTGTGTTATTATTCTAATATATAGTCCTAAGTTCTCCAAAACAGAATAAATATATTAAAGGTCACAAAATAAGATTYAAAAGYTTCAGAAAATTTGCAGCGAAGTGATTTAGCAGTCAGTTTTAAAATAAAAATATAATGTGAGTTACTACAGTAATTAAATGGCAGTCCAGGGTTAGAAGAGGTAGTARAACCCACCCACAACTGACTGAAAAATGAAAATGCATCATGGTATTTACAATATTTTGCAAGCATTYCTTATTCTAATGGAACCTAAAATGTAAGACAAAAATATTAATAGGCCAATAAGTTTGTGCTGTTTTATTTGCTACTTTATGTGAAGTTGAAATGGAGTCCTTGTGAGACTTTATTAGTCTGACGTCTTATTCAGAAGGAAGAAAATACAATATGATGCAGAACTTTGACCTTCCTCACTTAAGTTTTTCTTTATTTAATGTTAAAATGTTTATCTGAACTTCATAATATATTTCTGCTTATGCTGCTGTGCATTATTAATGTCAAATACAAATCCCTAACACGTAGTCAGCACCGTTTTATATTTTTGTTTCAAATGTTTTCACATTTGCATACCCTTTTAATGCTGGATATATATA